CATCCCGAGGGGCACCACACAGCGGCATTTCACTAGAGCCCAAATGTTTTGGCAAAGCGGTAAAACACCAGTGAGGAAGAGGGGGAAATATCTAAATTAGTGAGAGGAAAGAAGTATCGGATGGAGAAGACAAGAGTTATGAGAACGCAGCAGCTGATGTCATGTGAAATACCACGGCTTGGAAACACTGAGGTCATTCCCCGTCTCCCTTTGCCAAAGTCTTGAACACTTGGCTTCGCGTTAGTGCTCTACATTTGCTGTACAGTCCAAACTTTGGCAGGCTGCTCCATTTTTTTTTCTCTTCTTAGGTTCATGGAGGACACTGCAGGAATCTCTAGTTTCCAGCAGTGACCCACAACGCAGCGAGAACACAGCCGCGCATGCCTTTGCAGAAGCCGATTGACACATTTTTGCGCGAGAATCCCTTGACAGTCACTCAAACCTGCAGGCTTAATCTCACAAAATAGTGTGTGTGTGCGTGTGTGCTTGTGTGGCTGCCTTTTGCCAAATCTCATTGACTAATACCCTGGCAGCTCTGCGAGGGAGCCCGAGCCTCCATTGAAAGAGTCTCTGGTGAAGTTAGTGGCTGAGTAGTTTGCTAATCTCTCTCTGCTCCGCTGATCTTCACTCTCTAGTGAATCCTGATTATTTCAGCTAGATCTAGATCTGCCTCGAGTTTGGCACCATGACCTGCTTTAAGGCGGTGGGGAGGGCATATCAGGGGTCAGTCAGCTTGACCCCTCACCCCTAACTGCTGTTGGTGAGAGACTTACAACGAAACTGCTTAAATGAGATGTGACATTTCTTTCCTATCAGCTGTGATCAAGCAATGATGAGCTTTGAGAGTTGATTTGTCTGCAGTGAAATTAAATCAGTGCACACAAAGGACCATTCTCCTTCAACACAAGGTCCTTAGTAGACTAATACAAGAGGCATTTGATCGTGTAACTGTATGTGTGTGTTACTTTACCCGTAAACCCCACTGGCAGCTTGCCAGCCAATGGGACCTCCATCAGATCCCACTGGCCATCGTGGGAACATTCCTGACGCAGCATTATTCCATAATTCCCACCATGTGTGGTTTTTCCAGAGGAGAGTGCTGGCCTGCAAGGACCGTGGAGAATCCCAGTGAGGAGAGCAGATCAGCTCCTTGTAATCGCAACCAGGCCTCACGGTGTGAGAGAGGGGAACGCAGAGTACCCACATTGTGTTCATATTAATCATTGATGAGCCACTCCAACTGAATAAAACAGCCCAAAAACGTATCCGATATTCAAGTGGTTTTGTATTGAACTACTGTACTGAGGTTAGGAAGTCAACAATGTGAACTTTAAGAGTAGCACTTGCATTGGTATAAAGCAATAGGCTGATCAATACTAATGCACCTTCCCATCAATCAGCCCACTGACGGCTTCCCTCAATGCCCTTACAGGAACCTCAGGGTCACTGCTGAGCCCTTATCTTGTTCTGAGAGCACATTTAGGATGCTGTTGGCCTTCTCTGATCAATACATCTCTCAAGGTCCTGCCATTGTTACCCAGATCAGTAGGGACTTAGGGAGTATATCTACTTTGTGTTGTGAATGATAGGAGAACACCAGATCAAAGCACTTCAATGTCTTGCAATCACATTTCCAGGTGCTATATTGTCATGCAAGACAAGAATGAGTGGGATGCGTCTGTAATCATGAATCTGTCTATCTATGTTACATCATACTCCCCTCGAACGGTTTATAGAATGTTTTTTGTTTTATTGTCATGTAAAAATGTACACTGCTGTGTCATCCTGAATAACGAAGACGCTGTGTAGTGTATCGTTTTCTGCCATTCTTTAATGTCAGTTTAGGACAAGTCTGTTAAGTGTTAATATAAAACCATCACTACAGTACTTTATTACCAAATTCTCATCCGAGGAAGTACTTCTCCCAGTTTGATTAGTAGCACAGTCCCCACACACTGTCCACTGTGTAGCTCCGCCTTATTACTCATTTGCTGTACTTCCCCTACTACAGTCCTGTCTTTCTTTTCCTGCTGTGACATCATCATCACCTCAGCTCGCCCACGGCCCTGCCCTCCTTCCACTTCCTGCCACGACAGGAAATGAGCTGCCCAGAAGGATTTCTGCTAATGGGGGAAGTGAGGGTGGACAAGGACACACCTGTGTCCACTACATAGGGCTCTGTGTTTCCCCCTGGTCTGTTGTTGAAGTGCGGCACCAAGCTAGGCCACATAAAGTCTCCTGAAACTAGCTGTTGTTAGTGGCACCTTTTTGGCAGTGCATGGATGGAAGGTGTTGTTTTCAGGGCTTCATGCACTTGTCATCCCTACTCTGGTTTTAGAGTTTGAAAGAGAGCATATCAAATAGGAAAGTCAAATGTTTACTATTCCTGCTCCCACCTGTGATGTCGAGCGTGACACTCCAGGAAAAGAACATAAAAGCCTACTTGTTGAAAGTTAAAGCCTTTTATTGTCGTTATACACAGAGTATAACAAGATTCAGAGTGCAACTCTGTCCCGGTGTGCAAAAAATACAAACAAATACATAACACTAAAAAACACGGCAATAGGACAGACAACAGACGGGGGAATAAATAGTTACAAATATTGGTATATAAAGTGCATTAAAAGTGTGTGTATGTGTGAGAATGGTTACGGTTACTGCATTATGTGGTGGTTGAGCAGCCTGACGGCCCAGGGGTAGAAACTGTTTTTGAGTCTGTTTGTCCGTGACTTGAAGCTCCCGTCTCTCCTCCCAGAAGGCAGGAGAACAGTCTGTGACCCGGGTGAGAGGGAGCTGTCCTTTATTATTTAGTTAGCTCTGCTGAGGCAGCGGGAGGTGGAGATGTGTTCCAGAGAGGGCAGGGGGCAGCTGATGGTTTTCTCTGCCATCCTGATCACTCTCTGCAGGGCTTTCTTGTCCGCAGCTGAGCATCCTGCATACCCCCCTGAGATGGAGTATGACAGCACGCTCTCCATGGTCGCCCGGTAGAAGGACACCAGCAGCTTCTTGTGTTCAGTCGGTTTCTCCGAAGCACCCTCAGGAAGTGTAGTCGCTGCTGGGCCTTCTTAACTGCTGCAGTGGTGTGTGCCGTCCAGCTGAGGCTCTCCGAGACGTGAACCCCCAGGAACTTAAAGGTGGAGACCCTCTCCACTCTCTCTCCATTGAGGTGAAGGGGGGCGGGTTCTGGACGGTGCTTTCTGAAGTCTATGATGATTTCTTTTGTTTTGCTTGTGTTCAGGTACCACGCAGACAGCTTCAGGATCTCGTCTCTGTATGCCGACTCGTCGTCTCCCTTATATATTTGGCCGACCACAGTGGTGTCATCTGCAAATTTGATAATGGAGTTGGAGGGGTGAATGGGAGAGCAGTCGTGTGTGTAGAGTAAAGCACTTTGAATTGCCTTGTGTTGAAAGGTGCTATATAAATAAACTTGCCTTGCCTTACCTAGAGGGCTCAGCACGCTGCCCTGCGGGGAGCCGGTGCTGAGGGTGCGGGCGGAACAGGCAACAGGAAAGGAGTCTAATGCCTATTTCAGCTGGATTTCGCTTACTGAAAAAGGTGCTAATTTGGTGGAAAAGGGGTATATGACGCTATTTTGAAGTCGCAAACATTTGCCAGTTTTTATACAGATCTTTGAGGAGGAAATAGTATTGTCATGTCTGGAATTGTTTGATTAAAGTTATTTTTGTCCTCTCCATTTTGTGCAGCCCTTGCTTTTTGATCACATGCACTTAATGTTTGTCTGTTGCCGGCCTTTGTTTCCAGCAGCGGAGCAGCTGCCTGCGGCTCCGCTGCTGTGACTGGAGCAACTGTGTTCTGCAGCTGCACAGACCCATGTGTCACGGCCACACCTGTTCAATGGCCTTGTGTTGACTGAGTGATATCACACATTAACTGTGTGTGCATTTAATGCCAGAGAGAGATGGAGGGGGCTGACCTGTAACCTGAGAAGGCAATTGTGTGTTTTATGACACACATATATGGATGACGAGCACGAGCAAAGACATGCACACCGACTCTTTCTGACGCTCTCTCCTTGTAACAAGTCCAACAACACACACACACACACACACACACACACACACACACACACACACACACACAGACACAGACACAGACACACACACACACACACACACAGACACAGACACAGACACACACACACACAGACACACTTTTGCCAGCGAAGGGCCACATGCTGTTGAACAGTTGTTGTGTAGAAAAAGAACAGCTGAAGCCAGCAGGAATAGCTTCCTAGTCGGCAGCACAACATCAGCTGCCGACCTCTCTCACACACACGCACGCACACACACACACACCAGCACATTATAACCTCCAGTCAACAGGTTGTGTGCCTGAATGATATCCTATTACCAGACTATGACTCAGCATCCAGATTGTTTTGGATAGAAAAAGGTTATGCTGGTGTGATTCAGCACTGATGAGTTGGTGATTCGTTAAACATGTTCATCACCGGTCAGCGGACTAACTGAGTCACAGTCAACACACAAATAAGAGTTTTGACAAGGTTTCTACTCTGACTCATGTAGTGAAATGAGTAGCCTGCCGGTGTTGGCAAGCTTTTGAAGTCGCCTGCGTGTGTGGCTCTGAAAAGAAAGGCTTTGTAGTCAAACGAAGAAGTCCTCGTCAGCTCAAATGTCACCCTCTTAATCTGGCAGTAATAATGAAGCCCGATCATAATGAAGGCAGCACTGGGCTTGATTGCTTTCTGGCTGTGCGTGTAATTTTTCTCTGCAGTTAGTTAAGTCTCTCGCTCACGCACACCCTACAGTTAATCCTCCGCATTCTTGTGACAGTGAAATCGGTCTGCCTTCCTCGAGCTGCCGGCTGCCAGGTCTCTCTCAAAACAAACGCTATAAGATTTGACTGACCAATAGATGCTGTAACAAAGCAGGGATTGTGTTTGCCTACTATAGTGCTAAAAATAGACGCTGACTCATATCTAATAGATTTTATTCTTCCCTCTTTTTCATTCTCAGAGGAGAACAGCCCTGTCGCAGAGTGGAGTCTGAACTTTAACCCCAGTAGGAAGGAGAGAAAGCCACTTCAGAGGTAAGCGTTCCTGTAAACTTAAGTGAGTAAATGCTGCCAGTGCTACTTTCTGTGGGTAATAAACTCAGAGTGAAACAGTATTGACGTCGCTGCCAGTAAGCTTTGCCAAGCTCAGGCACAAATGCCACAGAGCCAGGCTGTTATTCTGACAAGCTGCTGTAGCAAGTTAGATTTAAGGTGGTCTGAAACTCTGAGTTTTCTCTCCTGTGACATGCATGACTGATGTGTCAAATCTGTCATGTAGCTGCTTCACATTAGAGAGTGGAATCCCCGCTTGACACTCCATGTGTTTGTTGTAGGGAAGGATACATCCAGACGTGGTGTAGAAAGGGAGGCTTCTCTCCCCCCTTTAAAGCCTCAGTCAGAGGGCCTTGTAAATCAAAGCTAAATGAAAGAGGACTCAAGCCTCTGAGGAGAGTCCTCTTCGCCGAAGGAGATAATTCCCGACTAAAGTAGAACCATGTGAGGGCGAGCTGTGCTGCGGTTTGTGGCAAAGAGCTGCTCCTCACACAGAGCCGTTCTTCTCTCACTATCGCTGATCTGCAGTCTCACTCTTTCCACTCGTATCTTCAAGGACCGGCCAGCGAGTCGTTTACTAGAGCGCCTTGGCTCTGTGACTCTGGGGTTTGATAGAGAACGCACACGTGATATGAACACACACATCAGCACAGATCCTGATCCTGCGCAGAGTTATGGGTTGTGGTCCTCTGCAGAACAACAGAGCACACGAGACCCCCAGCAGAAGCAGAACACATCCAATGACTCTTTAGGTGCTATTTGATTAGTTATGCTTCTGATTATTATTAATATAGCATATTTCCTTGTCAATTTGGAAATGCATGTCTGGACTGAGTGCTTTAACATATCTAGAAGCAACTAACAGAAAGGATGTGAACGGACAAAGACCCAGACATATATTATCATCTTCTTGGGGGGGGTTGCTGTGATGTTTGCAAAGCTTAGGCGAGGATGTGGAAAGGAAGCCGGGGTTTTAACTGGGACCCCGGCAGCGGGGATGGAGCCCTCGGCGGAGTGGAGGAAGTCATTCCTCTGCATTTAAACTGTCCCAGGAAGTGGGGATGCTCGTGTGTCAGGAGGTTTATGGCTGTGTGTCAGTGTCATGTGGAGACGCTTAGCAACTCTGACACAGCCCTGTCAATATAATTCAACTTGTACATGCGGGTCCGTGGTCATCTGTCATTGTTCTGTCGTGTACAGTAGTTCTCGTGGCAACTGTTTAATTCATGCACTGGGCTTTCTTCAAGAGACTGTCCTTAAGTCATACGACCACAGAGACATTCGGGACATAAAAACAACTTGTGTGAAAGTGTGTGTGCTTTTCAAAATGAAAAGGATGGAAACATTGGAATGAAAGGAATGCTAGAAACTGTGCGGCAGGAAGTAGACCGCCACATTTTTGTTTGCGTCTGGTTGACAAGATACTTTTGAATCGACATGACAAGTCGATCGGCCAATCAGGCGCATCTTGCAGGGGGTAAATGGAGGAAGACATTCGCAGCTGCTGGTGGCATGTGTGCAGACCCTCTCTGTTTGCACATTGCACATGGCTGGCTGGTTGCATGCAGTATGTCCGCACGGGTTATACGTGTGTGTGTGTGTGTGTGTGTGTGTGTTTGGGCATGTGTTGCTTGCGCAGTATGCTACTGTGCTTTGTATTCCCTAACAGGTGGCCGATGCAAACCCCCTGTTTCGCTAGACCAGGCAACCAGACGATGATAGAAAAAGAAATGTTGGCACTATAATGATTTTATTTATCTATAGTAGATGAGAGGCAAATCAATAGGATATACTGCTGGGAAAAAATGTGATATAATAATAAATAATTCACGGTTGTATTCTTATTTGACCCCGTCTGATACCGAATAATTCACTCTTTTACCTCATTCACACCAACGGTGTTTCAGGGCCGGTTCGGAGCTGGAGCTTGAAAAGCACCGGGTTTTCCTGTTCACACCGCAGCGGAGCAGCCTCTTAGCTCCGGAATCCGGTTCGTTTCAAGCAACAAAAAATTGTCCGGCTAGAGCAAAAGCATACGTCACGCTTACGTCGAGGCGGGGGCAGGGGCGGATCAACTCCTGAACAACAACAAAAAGCCGGCGTTTTATCCAGCGTGTACACAACGATGGAGAAACTTAACAAGCAGCAGTGGTCCACTGAAGAGACCAGCTACCTACTGGGAATCTGGTCTGCCGAAGAGGTACAGAGGAAGCTGGAGCACAATCGGCCATTGTTGTTGTTGTCAGCTGTGAGGGGTTTCCAAGCGGTTATGAAGCAGGCACGCAAACGATGACGCAATGACGCAGCACCAGTCGGACTCTGGGCGGTGTGAAAAGAGCCGGAGCTAAACCGAAGAACCGGTTCTGAACCTGAAAAGCTCTAGCACGGAGCTTGAACCGGAGTTGCGTTGGTGTGAATGAGGTATATGTTTGGCTTCTACACACTTTTTTGTATCCAGTGTCCTAGATACAACCAGCAGGGTTTTAATGTTCTGAAGCCATTAGTTGAGGATTGCAGATCTTTCTACTTCCATGCTCTCCCAGTGCAGTGAGTCTGCTGCTGCAGTGCTGCATCAAGTTTAAAACGGTGCGTGTGCACTGCAGCAGACCACCTGTGTGTGTGTGTGTGTGTGTGTGTGTGTGTGTGTGTGTGTGTGTGTGTGTGTGTGTGTGTGTGTGTGTGTGTGTGTGTGTGTGTGTGTGTGTGTGTGTGTGTGTGTGGTGTGTGTGTGTGTGTGTGTGTTGTGTGTGTGTGTGTGTGTGTGTGTGTGTGTGTGTGTGTGTGTGTGTGTGTGTGTGTGTGTGTGTGTGTGTGTGTGTGTGTGTGTGTGTGTGTGTGTGTGTGTGTGTGTGTGTGTGTGTGTGTGTGTGTGTGTGTGTGTGTGTGTGTGTGTGTGTGTGATGTGTGTGTGTGTGTGTGTGTGTGTGTGTGTGTGTGTGTGTGTGTGTGTGTGTGTGGTGTGTGTGTGTGGTGGTGTGTGTGTGTGTGTGTGTGTGTGTGTGTGTGTGTGTGTGTGTGTGTGTGTGTGTGTGTGTGTGTGTGTTGCTGTGTGTGTGTGTGTGTGTGGTGTGTGTGTGTGGTGTGTGTGTGTGTGTGTGTGTGTGTGTGTGTGTGTAACCCAATCTCACAAAAGGCAGGACAAGACTATTGATTTCTCAATTGGACTCCTGCCCTGAAGGAAAGCAGGGAAGCTGACACATCCTCGCTGTGTTTGTACGAGAGCAGAAACTTGCCACCTTTTTGTGCCGCTTGATTTATACGCTCCTATGTGCGCTAAGAATACACTTACACTATATGTGCTTGAAGATGATTGAAATGTGGATTACTTAGGATGCACACAAAGAGGTGACACCTTTGAAACATGAAGCTTTGTTATGTTTCCCTTTCATTTGTCTGACTAAAACTATATTGTTGGGTTGTTTATAGCACAGTAACATCTCATTTAATTCAGTAAAGAAGTTAAATTAGTGTTCTGTTTCCATTGTAATGTTAAAAATTCGGCCATTTGCCTCTTTTCCTATCACACCATACCGTGTTTGGAAGCTATGGTAATCCATGCACATGTCGTCTGACTGCACTGTTGTTACACGAAAGAGCACATGGGCAGGGAAGTGGACACATTAAATCAATATTCAAGTTATTACTGAGAGTCTAAGCCACACTGAAGCTTTGTGATAGCTGCATGTCCGCCTGCAGTCACATGTGTGTTGCCATAGCAATAGATGTTGTTAAAGTTTGGCTGGCGGTGTTGAGTCCTCACACCTAGCGCCCACCAGTGTATCCATGCAATTCTCTCCTACTCAGTGTTTCTCCTCTCTCTGCCTCCCCCCTCGTCTCCCTCTCCATCTGTCCACCTCTGACACTCTCCTCATCTTTCTCCCCCCCCGTCCCTTTCCCTGCCCCTCCTTCCTAATTGGCTGAATAAGCCAGAGTGTCAGCTGTGCTTGAGTGAGCTTGTGTTTGTGTATCCATCTCATATGTGTGTGTGTGTGAGTTCCTCCTCTGCTTGCAGGCTGTCGTCGTGCTTGACAGACGACACTGGAGCTGTAGTTTTGGCCATCAGGGCCTCCCCCTTTATTCACAGCCTAATAGCGGGCGCCCTCCCTCCATTATTGTACCTATTCATCATTCGCTGCATCACCCCCCCCACCGCTTACTCGTTGGCCTTTTACCCATCTTATCTCTCTTTACCCATCACTCCTTCCCCTTTATGCTCCCTGTCTCTCATCCTCTATGTGACGTGTGCAGAGTTTTCTGCGTGTTTGGTTTTTTAATTCTGCAGGACGAAATGTCTGAAGATTTTCATTGAAGCTACTCAAAACCCCCGTCTACTGGGAATTCCTTAAAGACAACACTTCACCATCCCTCCACTCTTAACCTATGACTTTCTGTCACAAGTCATACATCTTTAAGGCGGCACCCGCCCAACCTTTTCAATTGAGAGAGAACACACATTGTCCGTGTTAAACTTCAGTGGTCACTACATGTCAAATGACAAGCCAACCCCACCCTGTTTGAGTTTGGACAGCGTCCGACCAGCCTCTCCCTTTCTAATTTATTTTACTGGCACTGGTAGCTACAGCTTTTGGCCACATCTCCTCTTTTAACTTGTCTATTTGAGTCAACCAGGAAATCAAAGCACTGGAAGAAAGTGAGCAAAAAACCACAGGCTGAGAACATGAGCCTGGAAATAGCCATTATTTCATCCTCGCATATTTACAATGAGATAGTGTCCGTTTAATGTCTCATAGGAAACATTGAGAGCAGCAGTAAAAGGCTTTGTTCACTCCGGTCTGGCTGTCTGGAGCTGGAAGTGTTTTTCGCCACAGGATGTCATTACGATATCTTGACACTTTGCATTTTGGTTTGTGTTTTATGGCTTGAGTTTTATAGGCTATGATGACGATCAGACGCATGTATGTGTAAGAGGTGATTCATAGTCTGTCAGGGCAGCGCTCACACCAGAGGATGACATGAGGAAGAGGAAGGCGGCAGTCGGGAGGAGAGGGGAAATGAAGGCATTATTTTCAACACCTACACCATCAAACGGTGTTATTTATGTCATGTTAAGGGGAAGATGACCACATATCAGAATGTTATGTAAACACATGATAAAGAAGTTGATTTACCATGTTTAGTTTGATTCAAATTAGTTTCAGGAACACCTTGGCTTACATGGCTGGATTTGAACAAGGAGGTCAGTCACAGGGGGATTTACATGAAACTATTTTTGCTTATATTTACATATCTTTACACGCAGCAGCACTGGAACACACGGCAGCTTTGATATTGAAAGATATAATGTAACTAGGGTGTGCCTTTCTCTCAAAATGACCCCCAACTCACCGTTTCCCCAGAGTCCATCAGCAGATTGATTAAAGCCTCCCTGGTGGATGTCTGGAGCTATTCCTAGCCACGGCTATGCTAAATGTTTTACTTGTTCACTCTGTTTGCCCCCGGAGACGTTCGTCATTGTGTAGCGTTTGTGTCCCACTAAACTCTCAATAATTCCCACTCTATATTTTCAGCGTAGCCTCATAACAGTTCACTGAGTTTCTATAAGCGTTGTGTTGTTTCCAAAACCCTTGCCCGGTCCTTTCCGGTCCTTTTCGGCTTACTTTGTTGAGATGATATGATCTGCCGAGGGTATTTTTAGTCCAGAGGTGTCAGACGTTTATTTTTGTAAGGATACTTTGAGAGGAAATAGCTGTGAGGTCCAGTTTTCTGTGTCACTCCCAGTTTTTTTCCATTGGTGAGAGCTAAGGAGCTAATGCCTGGTTTCATTAACCTCCACTCTCCTTATTGCCACTTTACAACACACATGCAGTGTCGAGTATCTGGTCCGAAAATAGTCTATTTAGAAGTGCTTGATGGAAGAATTCACTCATCACAGCGGGGGGCTTCTAGCCACAATAGTATTTACACAGCCATGGTAATGTTCCACATCCCAGCCCTCCCATTTCCTGTGTGATTGAAATACGAAAGGATAACTCAAATGTTAGATGCAATTCATCATTTGAATGTCAACTAGGAAGTGGGAACAGGTGGTGCTGAAGCAGTGAAGGGCTTTGGCTTAGGGACATGTCCTGTATTTGAAAATGTTATGGATTCAGTAAGCGGTTTTGTGTATTTTTTTTTCATTATCTTCAGTCCGAAAAACTGGATTTGAACATTTACATGACCTACGGTATATGGAGACGTACAGAATATTAATTGCGTTTTCAAGCATTACTAATGTCATGCAGGAAGATGCCTTAAGAGGCCCTACCAGGTTTTTTGGGGGTTTCCCTCTCCTGTAGTGTGTCCTATAGGTTTGTATGCATATCAATGTTCTGCAAATGCCCCTTTTTTCATGAGCAGTAATGGCCCCCATACTGGAAGAAAAGAGCTCCGTCTTCTAGAAACACACCACTCTGAAGACTAATGTAATCTTACGTAATGGCTGATAAAAAGCACTGGGATGACGACACTAACAGAAAGGAACTTGCTTATGTTAGAATGAATCACATTATAGTGACTGCAAAGTGAGAGCGTTACAGTACTTAACAATATCCAAAGTCCTCCTCTATAGCATGGTGAAAGTGGCTGTCCATCCCAGATTCAGCTTAATGTTAGTCAAATGGAAAACAGTACTTTCCCATCATGCAAACCGGATTAAGAGAGGAGCGAGCCATGGAGACCTTATCTGACCCGTGACGTCACGTTGCTCTGTGTCACACCCAAACACTCTTTTTCTCTGGGTGCTCCAAACCTAATTGTATTCAGTCTGATCCCAGGGGTCTCCGAGTTCTTTGTTCGAAGTTTTGAAGAACAGTTCTCCCCTTATTAAAGTGACGTAACATCTACTCTTCATACCGCTCCCTTTTCCAATCTTCTTGACACTCTCTGATATGAACGATTCAGTCTAAAGATAGACCTCCTCGTCTTCCTCTTCATCCTCCTCAGCACCGGATGCTTTGGTGCGCCTTCTCCTAAGATTCTTTTATCTTCCCTTTTGCCGGCATTGCAGTGTTTAAATGGAGCCTGAAATATGGCTGCAGGGGGGGGGGGGGGGGGGGAGAAACTCCAGTGGGACGACCTTTGACCTTTGAACTTCCACCCTTGACCTCTGAGTCACCCAGCATTCACAGGAGACAGATGAGCGCTGGTTATGCTCGGACAAGAGAGAGGAACAGGCAGCAGGAGGGGATAAAGGCCAAGGCGGTTCTTTGGTTTGAGTGTAGTAGTGCATACACACACACACACACACTCACACACACACACACACACACACACACGGCCTCCTCCCATCCCTCGGGTCATGCTCCATTGAAAGCAGGGCCTCAGGTGGTAATTCACTTAGACCTGCAGCATCGTCTGCCGGTGAGGATATGATCCCATTAGGAGGACAGCTGCACAGCTATTCTCAAAGTGCTTTTTTTGTTCTATGCGTACTTTTTACCCCGTTTTATTTTATATTATTTTTCTTGCAATCGCATTGAATGTGCATTGTGTGTTTATTTAACTATCTGCAGACCCGCAGGCTTATTGCTGTTTAAACACAGCTGTTAAAAGTGTCCCGCCGTTCCACTCCTTTCTCGCTGGTGTATTTACACATGAGAGTATTGGCAAATGCAATTCAAGCTCATTTAGCCATTTCCTCTTCCTGTGTGCATGCAGACAGCCATGATGTCATGTCTTAAAGAGAGGACTCCTTTCATACCGGGGGAATCCCCAAATAGATGCGCCTGTGACCAAATGGCCCCATATGGAGTCACATTTAAGGGAAGCCACTGAACACAAATTATTCTTTGGTGGTGGTATGCAGCATGTCATTTAGATTTAAAAAAAATGTAATACGCTCTTTCTGGTAAAACAATGTGTCAACCAAGAGGATTTGTGCCTTCATCAGAAGAGTCCCCAGTAAGTGGCACGGATAAACCGACGGACAGCTGGAGTTTCCTGCCAAGAAACAGGCCATGTGGGGAAATTAGAAATTCTGCACATCCTGGCTATTTCCTGTTCTGACTCTCACACACGATCATCAGTGCATGGATATCATCTCACACACACACACACACACATACACACATACACACACACACACACACACACACACACACACACACACACACACACACACACACACACACACACACACACACATGAGGGACTTGTTTTTGTTGACATACTTAAGACCTCATATTTCTTGACAAGATGACATGTGTTTCATGTGTTTGATATGTGAGCCAAAACAGGAAACTGTCCATCATCACTCACGAACGAACGCACGCACGCTAGGGCTGCTCGATTATGGCAAAAATCATAATCTCGATTATTTGGGTCAATAATAGATATCACGATTATTAAAAATGATTATCCATTTACTTTGAAAACATCAATTTATTGGATAAAAAATGTGAACAGTATGTTTTTAACAGTTAATTACCCTGAACTTTAAGTAGAACTCAACTGAAAAACCAATTTTTAAAAAATCGTTAAATTTCGATTACGTTGTTTTCGTTGCAAGCCATAATCGTAATTGCGATTAAAATACGATTAATTTAGCAGCCTTAACGCACGCACAGTTTTGGCTTGTAATTCCAACTAAGGCTGGGTTTGGATGGGAGATTGGGGGAGTATATGTTTTGTACATGCACTACATACAGTAATTTAAAGGAGTAGACCATGTGTGCTGTCTGGAATGTGACCGCTCTGATCTGAAACAAACGCCCCTCAACTCCCGCGTGTGTGTTTAGATGACCGATTTTCAATGGTGTTGCTATCATGTTCCTGTTTGCTTTCCTGTTTTATTGCCTCTCACCTACTGCCTGTTTTATTACCTGCTTTTATCACCTTCTTACAACAAAGCATGACTTCCAGATTGCTCTCAAGTACTTTGTGTAACTAGGTTGGACACACTTGCATGCATTAAGCCACACACACGCACACACACATTGTTGCTGGATCAAACGACCAGGGGTCATCCGAGGGGTTAATCCCAGTTTGGTGCAGTCCCCACTAGTGACTGACACCAAACAAAGTGGTTAACAGGAGGGATTGATCCCCTCCTGAAAACATCAATGGGATTACCTGCAACTATTCCATCTGATTGGACTGTGTTGGGCACATTGGACTGTACCAACAATCTTAAGGGGGGGACCGTGTCAGGTTGTACCGTCTGAAATAGTTTATTGCCTATCAAAGCATGCCAGGTGTTACTCCTCATGTGCTCCACTGTGTTTTCCTTCAACTTCCACATCCTCTCCCCAGATTAAATGTTCTTCCTCGATGTGCGTTGGCATGCACGGGTGTTCATTCCTCAGGTTGGGTTGTCTAAACAGTTAGACTCCCAGCTGGCCTAGAAATGAATGATATGAAGATACGGTCAGGGCGTAACATTATTTTTGCACTGTTCTGGAAGTCTTATCTGCTATTCTGTGTCTTCATCATTTTGATGTTTTGACTCAGTGCTTTGTCTATTGAAAAATGCCCTTGAATGAGGCTTTAGGCTGTTGTTCGTTTTAACTCGATACTAAAAGCGTAAACATAATAATATGAACAGTATCTTGTCGGGATGTGAAATTGTATATTTTATGGTAATTCCTAACCATATATTGACACATTTTCATTCGAATTAAATGATTTTACCTCTGAAATATACATTTGTAAATGCTATGTTGGAGAGCATTGCTGGACCTGAGCCACACAGCTGCAGTGACATCACTTCCTGTGTAGTCCAGTAGAGGGCGCTCTTCCCTCACCTTTGACCAACCACAGCCTCCCAACCTGCTACTCCTCCCTTCCTTTCTTCCATCCTTCACCCACTCTGACCCCTACAGCCATTGACACCACCTGCTGGTGTTGCCGAGTGTTTGATTGACAGGATGAGGCACCAGTCTAGATGCAAAGCGCTCAGTTTGTCAATGTAGTCGATGTTGGACTCCATCGAGGTGTCAGATCCATGTAGAGGCGTCTGTGAACTGCACACTATGACACACTACAGGGCGTTCAGACTGCACAGGGTGCCCGCTAGGGGTCCGTGAGCAGTTGTCATGGTAACAGGCAGTGAGGTTGGCATGAGCTGGGTTTTTTTTCTTTTCTTCTTTCTTTAAATCATTCCGGCTATGTGTGTGTGTGTGGAATCATCTCCTTGACTGAAGTCTGTTTTTGTATCGCTTGTGTGTAGATGGATCAGGTTTCGGACGACGAGTTGGACCATGGGGCCGAGGAGGACAGCGATAAGGAGGATCAGGACCTGGACAAAATGTTTGGAGCCTGGCTTGGAGAGCTGGACAAGCTTACACAGGTCAATAAACACACACACACACACACACACACACACACACACACACACACACACACACACACACACACACACACACACACACACACACACACAAGATGGTTGGTTACACAGACTCACAAAGGTAGAAAAGCTGCAAGAAAGGAAGAGGCTGTATCCATAGCAACCTTAACACTGCTAATCCTGTCTCCCTATACTGTATCCTAGCAACTCCCCTCCCACTACCACTTGGTATTACACGTTTGTGCAGGATTGTGTGCGACAACACTAGCAGGCATATATCGGTTGCTTGGATCCTGTGCTGTCACTGTGTCAAAGGGTGTTTTTGCATACGTGCACTTCATGCTTTTTGTGTGTGTGTGTGTGTTTAGAGTCTGGATGACGGCAGGCCTCAGAAGCCTCTGCAGAAGGCTCCTCTCAGGCAGGAGACAAACATGGCAAACTTCTCCTACCGCTTCTCCATGTATAACATAAACGGTGAGACATCACACACACAAATAGTATAATTGTTACGTGTTGTGTTTGTGTGTGTGTCTCTCTCCCCCTCTCCCCCTGATTGTCTCCCTCCAGGTGCAGCCTCTCCCTCAGGTGCTCCCAATCCCCAACCAGGGCCTCCATGAAGGCCTGAGGAAGGCTGCAGTCTCTGGGTGTTTCTCAATGTCGAGGAAGGATGCTCCAGAGCCACTATTTCAAGGATACTACGTCATCGAGTGGCGCAGAAGGACTGTTTAAATGCCCAGCATTCGGCGCCACTCGATAATAATAATAATAATAATAATACATTGTATTTCTATAGCGCTTTTCTTGAACCCAAAGACGCTTTACATTTGGGAGGGAGGGTAGACAATCAAAACCACAAAGAAACAAAACAAAACAGAAAAGCAGTCAGGAGGAAGTTGGTTGAGAGGGGGGGGCTTATGGATACAGAGTTGAAGAGGTGGGTTTTGAGGCGGGACTGGAACAGGGTGAGGGACTCAGACTCACGGAGGTCTTGGGGGAGGGAGGTCCAGAGCTTCGGGGCTGCCACAGAGAAGGCTCTGTCTCCGAAGCTCCGGAGTTTGTCCTTGGGGATGGAAAGAAAACCGGCTGCGGTGGATCTAAGGGACCGGGGTGGTTGGTAGAGGATGAGGAGGTCAGTGAGGTAGGGGGGGGGGGGGGGGGGCAGATGGTGGAGGGCTTTGAAAGTGAGGACCAGGAGTTTGTAGTGGATGCGGTGTGTAACGGGGAGCCAGTGGAGTTCTTTGAGGACCGGGGTGATGCCATGATTTGGTGTAGGTGAGGAGTCTGGCGGCTGCGTTCTGGACACGCTGGAGTCTATTGAGGGGTGTAGTGCTGATGCCGTAGAGGAGTGAGTTGCAATAGTCAGGGCGGGAGGAGATGACGTAGTATACTTGAAATAGTGTTGACATTTTTTTACTTCCCTTTGTACCCCTTGTTTAGGAGGGAACGTGACAATAATAAAAACACAAATCCCCATAATGTGTTTGTAACCCCCCCTCTCCCCTCTCCTTTCTCTTGGCTCCCTGCAGAGGCGTTGAACCAGGGCGACACAGTGGACCTGGACGCCCTGATGGCCGACCTGTGCTCCATCGAACAAGAACTCAACACCATTTCCAAACCCAACTCTGCGTCTCACGGGCAGACCAAAGGCCAGCCTCGAGCCCCCGGAGGGCGGAGTGCCAGCACCAAGCACACGGGCACCAGCGGAGGGGGGAGCAGCGGAGGTACACTCGCTGAATGACGTGTATTAACGATGGCGCTTTACCTAGTATTCTAACTATGAGTAAGGAGATGAAGCTGTTGCACAGACATGTTGGTGCTTCCCACTTAGTTTTGGGTTAGACAAATACACAACAGGAAGATGTCACTCGTCTTCTTGTGGTGCAAATGATGTTTCTGGACGTGGTGCAGCCTTCCTGAAACATGTTTGTCCTTTTTTTACCAAAGCCAAAAACACCCAGAGTAAGAGTAGGAAAAGAGGACAATTAGCTGCTTCCTGTTTGCAGCGGGGAAATGTAGATTGTTGCGCACACCAGCGATGACTTCACCGCTGCATTGTCTTGTTTCTTAATGATCATCTTAAGAACCTTACCTAATGTAATATGTTGATGTGGCACCTGAAATCTAACTGGCATGAATGCAGAGTGATATAGACAAATGTATTAATTAATTATCACATATAAGTCAAAACGAGTTCATCTACGCTGATTTTCTTCCATCTAAGCTGTTCATCTGTCCAACAGGAAGCACCAGTAGCAGCACCCGTGCGTCGCCGGCCAACACGGTGCGGGGGGGCAGCGTCAACGCCCGCCCCGCCGCCTCCAACATCTCCCTGGACGACATCACCTCTCAGCTGGAGAAGGCCTCGCTCAGCATGGACGAAGCTGCTCGCCAGACCTCGTCTTCCTCCTCCTCCTCCTCTTCTTCTTTCTCCTCCACCACGCTGCGGCGGCCCTCGTCGGGCTCGTCCGGCGGAGGAGGAGGAGGGGGGGGGCAGCACAGGAGGACGGGCTCAGTGGGCGCGGTCAGCGAACAGGAAGCCCCCTCCCAGAGGTCCAGTGTAAACTCTGCGTGCGCCTCGGCCTCCAGCATGGACTCTCTGGACATCGATAAAGTGATGGCAGGCGGAGAGGCGGAGGGCCCTGGCTCACAGGGGCCAAACCAGAGCAGCACAGAGGTATGACCAACACTGAAACACACACACAAGGATAGACGTTGTTATTATTGTTAGGGAAGGTGTGTGTGTGAGCCGCAGTGTGAAAGACTGCTGTTCTTTTCCACATGACGAGGTAAGCGCTGCATGTTTAACCAGCATGGAGGAAACGGCATGGAGTGTGCTGACGGTCAATGCACAATACATCCTGTGTATTGTGCATTGGATGGTGTGTTTACGGATACATTGTAATCTCCAATACTGTATCTACCATTTCTGAATTCCTTTGCTAACTCACCAAGCACCATGGCTCTTTAACAACAGCAGAATGTACTCTAAAGGCTTCGCAGAAACAACAACCTGAGCTAAATGACTAAAGTGTATGTTTAGGTGTCTTGAAGAACAGAAAACTGTGACATAGTATTTTGCTTCAGAAGTAACCATGTAAAAGGGCTGCACAGCTCCTTGAAGTAAATCAAATATGTGTACCCCCCCTAATTGTGCAGCCCTAACACGGTATCATGCATGTCCCCTGCCCCCCCCCCCCCCTGCATGTCATCACTGTATCTGTGTTTGCATCCTTTCTATATCTGTATCCACACACACCTCCTGGTTCTCCCAGCCTGTCACACTGCGGCGGGCCAGACGGCAGCTTGACTTCTCCTCACGGGAGGGGGAGGTGGACCGGGCCACTGTAAGTGCGTGAGCGTGCGTGTGTGCAATCTGGATGTTTGCCCATGTAAGGCTGGCTGCAGATTAAATTGTAATTTTCCGACACATTAAATTGACATTTTCATTTGAGATTCAGTTGTAGTGTGCAGCCATTGGTTTATGTGTAATGCATGCACATGTGAAGTGGTTGGAAAGAGTGATGTGAAGTAGCTGTAGACTCTAGGTTGCTAGCCTGATACACACTATACTATGTAATGATATCTGTTTGTATCCTCAGTTCCTCTCACAATCACTGCTTCTTTACCCACAGCTGCAGCTAAGAACTGCTGAGCGCTCCATTTATGGAAACTTCTCTCGCTTCCACGCTTCTTTTTATACAAAAAGATCACCTGCGATTAATAAGCCTCCCGAGAATCATCTGGCTATATTTCTCTCATTTTTGTATCCTCTCTTCACCCCAAGCACTCCTATCTGGACCGAGAAACCTCACTCATTCTGAAAAGCATAGCAGGAAAGCCTTCTCACCTCCTGACCAAGGTGACTTCCTCATACACTCGCTGTGTGTGTGTGTGTGTGTGTGTGTGTGTGTGTGTGTGTGTGTGTGTGTGTGTGTGTGTGTGTTGTTGTGTGTGTGTGGTGTGTGGTGTGTGTGTGTGTGTGTGTGTGTGGTGTGTGTGTGTGTGTGTGTGTGTGTGTGTGTGTGTGTGTGTGTGTGTGTGTGTGTGTGTGTAGTGTGTGTGTGTGTGTGTGTGTGTGTGTGTGTGTGTGTGTGTGTGTGTGTGTGTGGTTGTGTGTGTGTGATGGTGTGTGTGTGTGTGTAGTGTTGTGTGTGTGTGTGTGTGTTGTGTGTGTGTGTTGTGTGTGTGGGCTTCTCTCTTCTGCTTTGCCTGCCTTGGGCTCCATTCCATTCTCTGCCCCCGGCCTTCTTTCTTTCCCTTAATTAAAACAAGAGGCCGACTTAACAGGGTCTCAGCTGATGTCAGCCTTTCTCCAGCAAGGAGTGCACACATGTGAGAAGAGAAATGCATGCGGCAAGTTGAGAGACACTGTATTGCCAGGAATGAAAATGAAAGGATTTTCTACGAGACGATCTGCGTAACATTTATTTTTCAGCATTTACCTTGCACTTACTTCACCATGCTTACATACACTTGGACGTTTTGTCCTACTCGCTTCCACACTTTCCTTCCCTGGCATGTCGTCTCTTGTCTTCTTTCCTTCATGTCTCCTCTCTGTTATGAAATTATGTTCATAGAGTTACAATCATGAATGGTGTAGTTATCTATCAGAACTCTGTGGCTGTAGCTTTTTCAATGTGTTGTTGTTTTGTAGTGGTTGGTTGCACAAAATGAGAACTCTACTCTTCCTTTAATTTGCAAACAATAGTTTTAGAAAAATAAAACTTTATATAAACTCAATTATTAATAATAAAAAGAATGGCAAGTTGAAGTCCTATGGATGCATCCTTAAATGTTCTCTCAAAGCCGTGCATTGATGTGTATCGTGGTTGCATTTGGACCCTTCTGTGCCCCCCTCTCTAATATACAGTATCTTCACATCTGTATCCATCATGTGTTGCTTCCCCCCCTCTTGGCAGTTTTCACAGTGACTGTATTTGTTGCGGCTTATTCCGATCAGATGTGTGCAGATTTGTTGTCGCCAAGTGCAAAGCAGGGGACGCCATGTGAGGTAGACGATGCATGCCAGAGTTTGAAATCCTATTGAGCAAGAGCATTTACTGCATATGAGACAAGCCACAAGTGTTGCTAATCTTCCAAACTCCAGAGAAAGATTTTGATTATTTCCAGGACTTCTTCTTTTTCATGGACTGTAAAACAAAAGACAGCCTTGTACTACTCGTGTTAGAATAAACTGGAAGATGTACATTAGCGGTCACTGGCATACCCATGCAGATTTCTTTCCAAAAGCCTTTGAGTTATCCCCGTTTATTACAATCTAATGAAGGCCAACAGTGGAGCTGGCTGACTCTCAGTTATGTCCTTTTACATTTTACAGCCAAAATTCAGGAGGGGAGTTTTTTCTTTCTGCTGCTATTACAAAACAATGGAATTGATTCAGTGTTTCAAAGCGTGTGGCTGCTCTCACTGTGTCCATGTATGCAGATAGCATTTGACTAGTTTTAAAAAGCAGAGCCGCAGACTCACAAACTCACCCTGGTTTGGAATCAGAATACTGAATGAGCCCGGGATGTTTGGGAACGAGACATCAAAGGGAGAGGGTGCCGAGATTTTCTTCCCAAGCTCGGCAGAAGAGCCTTTTTTTTTCAAATTGGCTCTATGGTGTGAAAGTGGAAGGGAACACGCCTGTGGAATAGCAATCAGATTAACACATTAAAAAAGCAGGGTGTAGGTAGGTGTCATAAGGGGAGGAAGTTACGCTATGTGTGACTCAGATTCACTCTGGACTGGAATCCTTACAACCCTGTGACCTCTCCTCTCTCACACTCACACTGAAAGCCTGCCACCATGTGTTGGCCAAACATAGTGTTATTGCATTAATGTGCCCTGGAGCTGGTCATGTGGAAAGGTAGTCTGGGTCACGAAGAAGAAGGAGGAGGAGGTCTAGTTGTGAAAACCCCTTCTCTTTTAACACACATAGACTTTTCATTCACCCAAATCCCACTCTCCGTCGTTGTCACTGTGGTTTAGCTCCGGGGCCGTCGCCGGTCACGGTTTCCCCGCGCCTCCTGATTGGCTACAGCGGAGAGTATAGGGCTCGGCTGGTTGGCTGACCCTCTCCTTCTACTATTTTTGCGGGGATTACGCTCCGTTGATTGGGCACGCTCCCAAACCCCCACATCTGGCATAAAGAGAGGGTGATGGAGAGAGGGGAGGAGGCAGGAGGGTGGGAGGGGGAGGGGCATGGTCCTCCCTACTGTCTCATTTGGGGTTGTAGTCAAGTTGTGCTCATCTCGCCACAAAGTCTCTTCTGTGAGTGAGGAAGATGTGGATTTTCAACCACTGAGGATCATTGTGGAATAACTTTTCAAACACCAGTAGCTGTCTGGGAAGGTGGTCTAAAATGCATTTATTTTCCTGGGTAGTTTTTTAAGTTTTTTCTTGAGAATCCATTGAATTATGGATGGGATGAATCTGGGTGTTTTTCAGATTTGTTTGCCCTTGTTCATGATCTTCGTAGCAGATCAGTGTATCTCTGAGTGGAGGGCATAGAGGCTTTCTGAGCTGATCTACTCTCATCCGCAGCCTCTCGCCCTTCGGGGATCTTCTGCCATTGTTTCCCTTTCTGCTGTATAGCAAGATCAAAGGAAGCCGCTGCAGCACCATATGAATCCAATATGGAACCATAGGCAGAAAATGCTGCGCCATATTTGAGGGGAAAACTGGACCTATGTCACAATAGCGGCGTTTTAGCAACACAGTGTTTTCGATAACAAATTCTCACACACGTTGAGGCAAACAAAACCTGCGGGATGGAGGTGATGGCATCTTGTTGGCGGGGGCAGGTAAGCGACCCAAAAGCATGGAAAAACTGGATCTGGGTTTAGCACGACACTGTGCGCCATCATGCCTGAGGCTTGTGCATTTAAATGGTTTAGAAGGCTGCTTACTATTTAATGAAGTTGTGTGTGCATGTCTCGTTCCTGCCAGAGGATGAGGCAAGGCGGTGAAATCAGAAACCTTTTTCTTAAGGGGGGTGTGTGTGTGTGTGTGTGTGTGTGTGTTAATGATATTAACCGTGCTCCTGCGTGTCCATGTAGGAGGAGCAAGCTGCCAAACTGAAGGCAGAGAAGATCCGAGTCGCCCTGGAGAAAATCAAGGAGGCACAGGTCAAAAAGGTAGGACCACCTTTGTATTTACTGACTGGTGTAATAATCGCTGTCTCGTCATATTCACCGCACACTGCATTTCTTTGTGAACTTCCTCCACGGCAAGGCGGTGGAGCGCAGAGAAAATGGGTCATTGCAGTGTTTGCTTATGTGTGTATCTGCCGGGGAGGGAGCGAGACATCAGAGAGAGGCTTCAGAAAAAACAGACAATGCAGACACACAAAACGTCGTATTTACCACATCCAGCCAAACAAGTGCTGGTTTTTCTGTGAACAATACGGACTCCCTGAAAGCATCGGCGTGTGCATGTCTCTATTGGGAAGTCCGTATGGGACTCAACAGACAGGACATTTTCAACCAGTGTCTCCCCCAGTGAATGGTGTCCTTTGCCATGCAATGAATGGTAGAGACTCAGCAGTGTTTCACCACAAAGGGATGGACTTACTATAGCAAGATAAAGAGTGCTGGTACCAATGACACATACTAAAAGTGCTAAATTATTACTCACATCGTCAGCAATCTTCCTCACAATTTACTATATGTTGCATCTATGACATTGAAGCAGCATTTGGATAACAACTTCCAGATCTTGTTGAAGCCGTGTGATTTATTTAATCTTTTATTCTTCCAGACTAGGGGTTTCAAGGGGTCCCTCCTGTGAGAAATGTAGGTCAGACATCCCCCAAATGTCTTAGCCTCACAGCTTTCCCAGCTATTCCATTGGCCCAAGCCTCTCTTCAATCATCTGTACCCCCACGCGGATTGGACGTCAGGGTCCCTGTGGGAGGGGTTCATCTGGATGTCAAGGAATTGAAGTTTTAATTTGGTTTCACACCAGGAGAAATCTTCTGTAGGCTGTGATTAAGTGAGGCTGGATTTGGCACGTGTTATTCAGATTAGGTAAAGCCTGCTTGTTATTGAGGACTTTTGGCTGCGGATGCAAAACTTTAGCCAGATTATTGGATTTGACTTGTTGTTGCTGTGTGACTGTGGTGACCCCATATATAGTATTTAAAAGAAGCCTGACAGGCACATGATTCATCCTTTTCAATCCCCTAATCAGGTTCAGAGCCTTAATTTAAGATGGACAGCCGAATAAACCACTGTGCCATGAAATATTTTAACATAGAGAAATGCAAATAGACTTTAAAAGGAAAGATATGCTGGAACTTGGATGGTGATCAGAATCTTAGAAAATAAATGATTTGACATGTTTTTATTGAAGGACAGATACGGTCAGTGTTCGTTATACAAAAGTGTTTTTCTCACGTTTTCCATTTTTTCTCTCGTTTCTCCTCCTCTTCCGCAGCTGGTGATCAGGGTCCACATGTCGGACGAGAGCTCTAAGACCATGATGGTGGACGAGAGGCAGACAGTCAGGCAGGTGCTGGACAGCCTGCTGGATAAATCCCACTGTGGATACAGCCCTGACTGGGCTCTGGTGGAAACCATCAACGAGCTGCAGATGGGTAAGAGAGCGTTGGTCTGTTAGCATTATAATCCAAAAATGCTCTCTGGCTAATTGTCGGGCATACAGTTAAAATGTCTGCCCCACCTAAAAAACTGGAATCCCTGGAGGGAGGAAATTAAATGCACATTTGCGTGTCAGCGAAAAAACTGCATATCTTGCATCTTATCTTCATCACTCCCTCGTCTCTCCTCCCCCTCTCAGAGCGCATTTTCGAGGATCACGAGAACCTGGTGGAGAATCTTTTGAACTGGACCCGGGACAGCCACAACAAGCTGATGTTCATCGAGCGCATCGAGAAATACGCTCTCTTCAAGAACCCCCAGGTACATTTCACTTCAGGACAGTGGGGACGGATCATCCTCTCGATGCCCTCCCCTGCATTCAGTGTGTTAATCCCGACAGCATATGCTACACACACAAACACATTGTTTATGCATGCTGGTGGCTGGAGTGAACAAGGGAGTGTGTTTGTGTAGTAGAGTAGGAAGTAGGTCAAGTAAAGCGAGTAAAGGTGAATAATTTATTTAACATAAGACGAGGTGATCCGCCGACTCCCTTTTCTCACTGTTGCTTTCAATCATCTCCAGAACTACTTGCTGGGGCGGAAGGAGATATCAGAAATGGCTGACAGGAATAAAGAGGCGTTATTAGAGGTGAGATTAAAGTGTCCATCTTTCCTACACATCAGGAGGATTACCTACCAGATAAAGTTTAACATGAATGTGTCCTCAGGAGTGTTTCTGCGGCGGCTCGGTGTCCGTGCCGGAGATCGAGGGCATCCTGTGGCTGAAGGAGGACGGCAAGAAGTCGTGGAAGAAACGTTACTTCCTCCTCAGAGCTTCGGGCATCTACTACGTCCCCAAAGGCAAAGCCAAGGTCAGTGAGTGTGCATTAGGCTCATACCAAGTGAAGACGGAGCACAAATGTTGGGGTTATGAGAACCAGATCTGCTCTGTGGTATTTCCTGTTGGGTGCAGTGCCTGATCACAACACATGTGCTCTATTTTTAGCAACAGGACAAATGATATCATTTTGTTGCCTTATTTAAATCCTGCCGCTTTGTGTGAGTCCTACAATACATTAAAGTGTAACCAAAATATATCAGCCATGTGTCAACCCTTCCTCCATGTCCTCCTCTCTGCAGGCGTCCAGAGATCTGGTGTGCTTCCTGCAGCTGGACCATGTGAACGTGTATTACGGCCAGGACTACCGCAGCAAATACAAGGCGCCGACTGACTACTGCCTGGCCCTGAAGGTGAGGGGGGGGGGAAGAAGTGTTGTTCTGACACCAACAGATATGTAGTATCTTAACATAGACTCTGACAGGGTGTGAATTTCTCATCCTATAAATGGACATCAAATGGAACATGTGAATTCATTTGTACAGTCTCCAGAGGCTTATTAGAGCTTCTCTCCTACACTGCCAGACTATATCCACTATGGATTAGCCTTCCATTATAAACACCTTTCTGTTACAAGCTCTTCAAAATGCTTCCAAACAAGTTAATAAGAGTATTTGCTTTGATTACCAATAACAAGTGGGTAGAATGTTAGTACTCGTTGTATTCTATGTAAAAAGATGACAGGAGATTCCTTTAATCTGTCCTTTTATATATATTTAATAGATTATCCTTTAAAATAAAGCTTTAAAGCACTTTTTCAGTGGACATTTGATGCATTTGTGGATAGTAAAATTATGTATTAACTTCTCTGTAGCATCCACAAATCCAGAAGAAGTCCCAGTACATCAAGTATCTGTGCTGCGATGACGTCAGGACCCTGCACCAGTGGGTGAATGGGATTCGCATTGCCAAGGTACGTCTACTAATGTTTCAGTGTAGAAAAAGTCCAAACAATGTTCTCTCGCACTATGTAAAGTATGTTAATTTGTTTATCTCATTTTGTGTTTGTTTGTAGTATGGCAAGCAGCTATACGTGAACTACCAGGAAGCCATGAAGAGGACAGAGGCGGCCTACGATTGGTCCTCTCTCTCGACCGCCAGCATCCGATCAGGCTCCAGCTCCGCCAGCATACCTGGTGAGTTTAACAGTATAATACATATGTGTTCCTTAGATTTGGACATCTACATTTCCCATAATGCTGCTCAGAAGCATCCTTTGTTAGACTTCCCCTGCCCTTCCTGGTAAATGCCTGTCTTTCAAACACTTAGTATGAGGAGAAATGTTCTTTATAATTCAAGATCTAAACTTTTGGCTAATAACGAATAACGTCATACTGCACATCCATTATCATTTTACTCCACTAATGATATGCCTTCTTTCCTGTGTGCTTCCAGAGTCCCAGTCTAATCACTCAGGCCACTCGGACAGTGGCGTGGACACGGGCTCGTCTCACGGCCGCTCCCAGAGTGTGGTGAGCTCCATCTTCTCTGAAGCCTGGAAGAGAGGGACCCAGATCGAGGAAAGCTCCAGGGTAAGGCCTTCTGATAAAGAAAGCAAGAATGAATAAAAAGAAAGCCTGTTATAGTTCGGTGTGAATGCTCAGAAACGTTCCCAACATGTGATCTTCATCTGGAGAAATCTGCATTGCAGTTTAGTGGAAGGAGTTGCATTCTCTAGTTGCTTATGTGTCGTTTATGTCACTCAGCTAACACATAGTCTCTTCTTTTACAGGCATCCAGAGGGGCCACCCTGCCGCACGCTTCCCACGGTCACCGGCACCACAGCCAGCACTCGGCTGATATCCCCGCCCTGACGCCCTCCCCCCAACCTCAGCTGCAGCAACAGCATCAGCAGCAACAGCAACAACAACAACCACCACAACAACAACAACAACAACAACAGTTTCCACCACAGCAACAACAACTTCCTCCCCAGCAACAACATCCACCACAGCCTCCACCACAGCAACAACTTCCTCCACAGCAACAGCATCAACAACATGAACAACAACAACAACAACAACAACCACCACAGTTTCAGAAACCACCACAATTTCAGCAACCACCACAGTTTCAGCAACAACATCCACCACAGCCTCCACCACAGCATCAACAACTTCCTCCACAGCAACAGCATCAACAACATGAACAACAACAACAACAACAACCACCACAGTTTCAGAAACCACCACAATTTCAGCAACCACCACAGTTTCAGCAACAACATCCACCACAGCCTCCACCACAGCAACAACTTCCTCCACAGCAACAGCATCAACAACATGAACAACAACAACAACAACAACAACCACCACAGTTTCAGAAACCACCACAGTTTCAACAACCACCACATTTTCAACAACAACATCCACCACAGCATCAACAACTTCCTCCACAGCAACAGCATCATCATCAACAACAACCACAGTTTCAACAACAACCACAGTTTCAACAACAACCACAGTTTCAACAACAACATCCACCACAGCAACAACAACTTCCTCCACAGCATCATCATCAACAACAACCACAGTTTCAGCAACAACCACAGTTTCAGCAACAACCACAGTTTCAGCCTCCTCCACAGCACCTTCCACAGTATCAGCACCCATCAATGCACCCCCACACCCCTCCCCAGCACCAGCCCCCTCCCCCCCAACAGCACCCTCCCCTCCAACAGGCCCCCCCTCCCCAGTACACTCAGCGTCCTCCGCCCTCCCCTCAGTCTCCACAGCAGCAGCCCATCAGCAGCTACAACAACCACATGCCCCCCCAGCAGGTGGCTCCTCCCCCCCAGCAGGTGGCTCCTCCCCCCCAGCAGGTGGCTCCTCCCCCCCCACCTCCGCCTCCCCCTCCTCCCCTTCCCCCAGTACACATCGTGTCAAACCACTCCCCCGCGCTCACCATGTACAAGTTTAGCACCATCACCAGGCTGCAGAACCAGAAGGGGAACCAGCCGCTCAATCAGAGGCTTCCGGGGCACCTCCATGCTATTGGTCATCAGGTTCTGCCCGTTGGCCCGATTCCGGTCAAACCAAACCCCAATCACATCGCAGCACGGACTAATGTCCCGCCCCCCCCTCCGCCTCCCCCCCCTCCCCCGCCTCCCTCCATGCCGGCCCCAGGTTCAGCCATGGCCGTGTTGAGGCTGGGCCCCTCGAGCCCTGCTGCCCCCCCCCGCCTTCATCCCACCCCCCCCAGCACTTCCACCTGCTCCACAGACCAATGGCCTAGCCTTCCCTCCCCCTCCGGCTCCCATCAGCCACCCTGTCTACAGCACCGGGTTGAAGCAGGCGCTGAAGGAGAGGTTTCCCAGCCCGCCGCGGGACCTCCCCTCTCCAAATGAACTCGAGGAGTCCCCCCCGCCTGCCCCTGCTCCGACACCCCCACCTCCCCCTCCACCCCCACCACCCCCACCTCCTCCCCCCCAGCAGTTCCCAGTGCCGGCCCACTTCCCACCTCCTCCTGCACCCAAAACCTTCACCCCAGGGTTTGTCCCTCATGCTACCCCCAAACCTGTCTCACCTGTCTTCCCTTTCCCTCCTGCCCCACCTCCTGCCAGCCTGGGTGGCCCCCCCCCCCCCGCCACCTCCCCCTCCTCCCCCACCTGCACCCTTCAAGAAGCAGTTCAGCCTCCAAAACTCTGGCCCTCCACCTCCGACTTTCCCCAAGCAGCACAGCCTGTCTAAACAAACAGGGGCTCCTGCTCTCTCTCTGGTGAAGCAGCTGGCCAGTCAGTTTCCGGGAGCTTCCTCCCCAGCAGCCAATCACACGGAGAGCCCCAAAGCCCCCCTCTCCCCCCCTGCAGTCAAAACCAAACCAAGATGGCAGCCAGGAGGCAGCCAGCAGCTTCAGTCTCCAGAGTTCCCTCCTCCTCCTCCGGACGGCAGCGCTGGCTTCCCTCCAGCCCCCCCTCCTGCTCCTCCTGCTCCTCCTCCTCCTCCTCCAGCCCCTGTCACAGGCCCCACTCCACCACCTCCTCCCCTCCCTCCTGGAAACATGGGCTCCCCGTTGAAGAGTACACCCTTTGGGTCCTCCAACTTCGGAGGGAAGAAGCCACCTCCCGCCCCGCAGAGAAACCCCAGCGCCACCCCCTACGAGGAGTCCAGGAGGAACCTGCTCAGCAAGTTTGCGCCCCAGAACACTGGCCCTCCTTCCTCCCCCTGCCCTGCCTCCCCCTCCAAGGACCCTTCATCTGGACCACCTGCTCCCCCAAAACCAGGCAAGCTCAACATGGCCAACCTGCCCTTGGGGCTGCAGTCCAAAGTGAACCAGGTGAAGCAAACAGGCGGGGACTACCCTACCCCCCCCGCCTGCCTGTGCCTACTTCCCCCCTCCTCCTCCGCCCTCTGATCTCTTCCCCCCCCCCCCTCCTCCTCCTCCTCCTCCTCCTCCTCCTCCACCACCCGGTAGTGACTCCCACAGCGGAGCACCTCCTCGAGTTGCCGTGGTGAACCCCCAGCCCCAGGCCCCGCCTCCTCCTCCGCCTGTGCCTCTTCTCAGCAACTCAACATGGGGAAAGAGCTCACTGAAAAAGACTCCTCCACCGACACTTGCCCGGCGCAGCAACACGACCCCGGAGCCCCCCAGCCTCTCCTCACCCCCACCCACCTCCCCAAAGGGCGGCTCAGGCCAGCCCAACTTCATGGACGACCTCCACCGGACGCTGAAGCGAAAGTCGGTGGGACGCCAGGGCTCTCTGAGCTCGGCCGGCCTGATGGGGAAGGCGGAGCCCGTGGGGACAATGGACGACATGGCGCTGCCCCCCCCGCCCCCCGAGCTGCTCCTGGACCAAGGCAAGCAGAGCAACGGAGGAAACGGGGGCTACATGTCCGGAAACATCTCAGGCTATGCAACGCTACGACGAGGTCCCCCACCTGCGCCCCCCAAACGGGGGGACATGACCAAACTTACTTGAGAGAGTTGGACTTGGAGAACAGGACAATAAAGAGATGGATGAATAGACAATGAGAGATGAATATGGAAGCTCCTGCATTGCTCTTGGATCACGATGATAAATTGATGACTGTAAATACTGAAACCCAAACCAGACCATGGTCCATTAGTGTTTATGTTTGGCAATCTGGATGGGTGGGGTTTACATGTAAAACTAGAGCAGGCAAGTTTGACATCGCTGAAAACTAACTGTTATTTTTCTGCGATTAGTCTAAACTCTCTGGAAGACATTGTTTGGGAAACCTCGCCTATCTTGTACCCCAAGCAGATTTAAACACTAATAAGAATTGTGCAAATATTACTGGAACCAGGTCTGAGCCAAACCATGTTATCCGCTTCTTTGCCATACGGTTGTGCCGCGTAAAAAAATAAAAACCCACATCAGGATGTTTCTGCTCGGTACTGCATGGACTTCATGTGAGAACAAGCGGTAAAAAAAACACGAGGCTGTTCCGGTGTGTGTGCATGAGTGAGAGCGAGAAACTGGACACGCATACATGCACGGTGTACGGCGGAGAAGTAGTTAGTGGCGGCCTCGTGGAGCAGGGACAGTCTGCTTTTATATAAAATTATTTAATGATCGATAAATGGAAGGATTTTTTTTTAATATAAGTCTGTCTTTTGGTGGTCAGCAAAGTCTAGAGAGAAACAAAGGAATGTATATGGGAAGGTGTGTGTAAACATAAGGTCAACAAGGCAGTAATACAAATACATTTCTAGACTGTGTTCAGAAGAAGCCTTATCCCCAAAGTCTTGCACAGAGGTCAAAGCAGAAAGGAGATTTCTTCCAAAGGTTCAGCAGAGTCTGGACTGTGCAACCGGAAAGAAAAAATAAACTGCTTTTTTTATTTAACAAAGGAGGTGGGGGCGGGCTGTGGTGGTGTATCTTCGTCTACCATGTCTCGTGCGTTGGCTTGATTTCGGACCGTGTCCTTCAGTTTCTGTACAGTTGCAGCTGCTACTCCGTTAGTCTCCGCCCTCTTCTACAGGCAACAGGAAGTAGAATGTACAGGTTGGATTCAGACATGTCAAGTATACTCTACACACCCAGTTGAAAAAAAAAAATATTTGTCTGGTTAATGTACAGAGCGTTAAATCATCTGAGCGGCATAGCACTGAATGTCGCTCTGTGTCGTATCTCGTGTCTTCATGGTGCCGGTGGTGCGCGGGGACTAAAGGCCTACAGAGTGGATATTAAAGGGTTTACATTTCTTGCAGCAATGCCTTTACTTTCAGGGTGCTTGTGCTGTGTTTCAAGGAACTCATCATCAACACGTCCCTGTGTGCCAGCATGACATATCATTAACATTTCAGACTGTTTAAACTGGTTTTGAATTGGCTCTAGTGTGGAAATGTGTGCTTGGAGTGATTTCCACACAAGGCCTTTTTTATCATGCTATTATTTTGTCCTGCAAATCATTTCCTATAACTGCGTATCATTGTCTTTTAAGCAGGATGTGTGCTACAGTACAGTATGTAAGTTATTGATGTACTGTTGATGTGGGGCCAAGTGAAATGAAGAAAAACGGTTGCAGATGTGATCGTCTTGCATATAAACTGAAAATCACAATATAAATGTTCAAACCAGACCTCAATCTGTCTCAGAGTCATACTTTGTTCAAATGATCCAGAAGATCTGTTTAGGTGACTTAAAGGGTCCTATTGTGCTCATAGTTCATGTTTTCATTTTGTGCCTCGACTCGACTGACATGTTTGTATGCTTTAATGTTCAAAAACTACTTTGGGAACTTTGTGAGGATTGCCTTTGCAGACCATTTACTTGCACCAAAACCTATAGAACACACTACAGGACAGAGAAAAAACCCAAAAAGAAGAACAGGGCCCCTTTAATGTAATGCATTAGAGAACCATGATTTCAAATGGGAGGAGAACAGTCTTTAGGCTCCATCTAGTGGTCTTATCATGCTATTGCATGATAAGACCACTAGATGGAGCCTAAAGACTGTTCACTAAGACAAAAACAACTAACACATTTTAGCAGATATGGGGATTGAACTATTACCTCCAACAGTCAGGAATCATTAAGTAGAATTCCACAATTGAATAATAATAAAAAGGGACAACAATCTCGGTGTGCAAATTCAGTTTTTACTTCCAGTTTGTCATCAGCACTTAAGTGTTTCCAGAGTGAGCTGAAGTCTCACACCAGGTAGCTGGTGAACGTGTCGCCTCGAGGCTGGACGTCTACCGTCTCTTTTTGGAGGGAGCGAGCAGGCAGGACGGGTGGAGGAGATGGGACTGTTGACAGATATAAGGTTAGTTAAACACTCTGAATACAGCCCTTGTAAATATATTTTTGAAATATTCAAGGCAAGCACTGTGACCATGTGAAAACCATTATAATAAATCTAATTGAAACACTATTTAAAGTTGAAATGCTCTTACCTTGATTTGCAAATGGGTCGTTGAACTGTTGTCTCCCTCTTGAGAACATCTGTGAATCAACATAATATTGTTGCTTACATTGATTAGAAAGCTCCACGTTCTCACCTTTTATTAAGGGTTTGGCTTCATTTATTAAAAATGCTGTTCTATTTTCATGGAAAACCTTCAAATAGACTTTTATTGTCCACGTTAATATAGGTTATATCATATATGACTTGCTATGGCTTAAAATTGAATTGAATTGATTTATTTAAAACAAGGGACAGTGTACATTAATCAACATATTGAAAACATGTAAAAGTACTCGAATTAGCCAAAAGGCTAGTTTTGATCGATAGTCCAGATAGCCAGATGGTGATAGACATCCTAAAAGCAATAATAAAAATACCACAACATTGTTATACCATTGTACATATTTACAATAGATGACATCACTGAATACAGATAAGAGCAAGTCATGATAATAAATAAAACATTTCCAATACAAACTCATACACACACCTACACCCACACATCAGTGCTGACACTGTTGGTTTTCAATGAGCCACTTTTTAACACTGTGCTTGAATGTGTAGTAGGATGAGGACTCTCTTATTGGTTGTGGTATTGATTTCCATTGATGGGATGCGTGGAATGAAAGACAGCCTGGCTGAATGCGCTCTTCCTAAATGGGATGGTGCAGTCTCCCCTAGCCGCACCTCTAGTAGCCCTGGTTGAGGTGGACTTTAGGCTGATGAAGCCAGCCAGAGGAGGAGGAGCCAACCCACGAGTGATCTTATAAACTAAGCAGATGTTTTTGTAAACTATGAGATTTTCCCAGCTGAACAGATTATACTTTTTAACAATGTGACAATGATGATACCGGAATGGCTTTTTGTCTAGTGTTTTGAGTGCTTGTTTATACAGTGATTCCAGTGGTTTTAGAGCTGTAGAGTGTGCACTAGACCAGCTGATCAGACAGTAGTTGATGTGGGAGAGGACCATTGAGTGAAGGTATAGCTTAGCTGCTGCAGAAGTTTCTAATGTATCTGTAATTTGACAGATTGAACTTTACTTTATTGCAGACCTTTTTGATATGGGTTTTGAAATTGAGGTTTGTGTCAATATGTACTCCTAAGTACTTGTACTCCGAGACAACCTGAAGTCTCCTTCCAGAAAGGAAAACATCTTGTTCTGTTATAATGCTGTGGCCCTTGGAGAAGAACATACACACTGTCTTTGAGACATTTGGTTGCAAACAATTATTGTTAAGCCAGGATGTAATATTCTCCAACACATCAGTGACCTTGGTAGCAGCCTCTTCTGCGGTTTTGCCATGAGTAAAAACAACTGTATCATCAGCATACATTAATACATCACAATCTCCACACACAGAAGGCAGATCATTTATGTACATACTAAACAGGATTGGGCCCAATATAGAGCCCTGCGGTACTCCAGTTGACAAACATAGTGCACTAGACTTATGGTTCTCAATTTGAACACATTGGGAGCGAGATGAAAGATACGAATTAAAGAGGTTGGTGAATTCTATAGAAAAATTTAAGTTGAGTATTTTTTGCAATAAATTGTTGTGATTAACAGTGTCAAAAGCTTTCCGTAAGTCAAGGAACACGGCCCCCACAACCCCACCCCTGTCCATTGATGCCTTAACTTTCTCCACGAAGAAAAAAATGGATAATGGATAAGGAGCTTGATGAATTAGTGTCAAAGTCAGCTCTACTTTCCCCCCTTTAGTCCTCACCTCCTCACTGGACTCAGAGCTGGAGCTGGAGGAAGAGTCACGGCCACATTTGAGAGACACCACCTGGGTGGAGTTGGTGGCCGACACTCGAAGCCGACTGGAGCAGGAGAAGGTCGGCTGCAGTGAAGTATTTTTCACAAGGCAGAACAGATCTGATCAGCACACTCTGTCCCAGTAAATCAGTGCCAACTCAAACAGTGGGCTGCAGCAGTCTGTCAACATGTGTCCTTCCCAGAGATAAGATATGAGTATTGTACAAGTACACTTTAACATTCATTCAACAATCATATTCTGTGCATTGATAAGTGCAGGACACATGTTTTATTTGCTTTGTGCCGTTTGTTGCATTCTCTTTTTGTGTTACACCCATGTGTGAGCAATCTAAAACAAACCATAATAAGATCCCTGACATTGAATATCTCACCACAAAGAATCCGGGTCTGAAGGCACATGTCTGGGGGTCCTGTCTTGAAGCCTTCACACACTGCGTCTCTTTAATGCCAAACACCATCTGCAGGTCTACGGTGATCAGGCCCATGGGAATCACCTGGCATGTGATATTTGTTATAATGAAGATAAAACAAAGTACTACCTCTATTCTGTAAATAGCCACTGCAATTATTTCCTGCAACAACAATTAAAAAATGACCACAGAAACTGCAGTCCTTTAAGGTTGAATGTGCTGACCTTTGTGACGGAGCTTCGAGTCGCCCGGTAAAGATGGCTGACAGCGTACACAGAGTTGACCCTGGCTAGAGCTGCTGTGAGCCCCCTGTCTGCCACGGTCCCCAGCTCAGAGTCATACAGAGGGACTCCTGCATAGATGTGGAGAAAGTCTGTCACTGAGTCTCCTCATGAAGTGCTGCAGACGGAGATCCACTCACCTGAGCATCGCACAGCCTGCAGCAGCGCCAACAGAAGCACGTAGGACTTCATCTCCAAAACTTAAAACCTGTCTTTCATTTTCTGCCTTTTAAATATATCCAGATTTTTTTCTAGCAGCCCTATGCGCCTCCTTTTACCCTCAATAACCTTTCAAATGAACTCCCTCCCCTTCTCTGTCACGCTTCTTTCACTCAATACCTGCTAACCTTTGTTCAGCAGTATTGATCCCAGGGTGATGTCCTGAATTAAGAGAGCACTGTGATTCAAATTCAGCAGACACAAACTTGAATTGTTTACATAAGGGTCCCCCCTTTATATGAAAAGAGGATTTTACTAACTAGAACTATGAAAAACCTTACCTTACCCAGTTAGGTCAGATGGCTCAGAGAGACGTGCATGCATGTACTTATTACAAAACTGGAACTGTAAGCTTAGTTATAGCCAGGGGAGGATAGTTTAAACATATCTTTGGATAAGGGTCCTCCCCCTCATATAAAATGAGTTTTTTTAGAAAGAAAAGTTTTTACATGAAGGTGTTTGTGGTGCAATTGTAGGACATAACAGCTATTGTTGGTGTTTGCTATATTTTGTCACAAAAAGAAAATGTGAGAAAAACAAGTCATAGTGCAAACAGTCAGTGATACAACACTGAGTAAGCTGAAGTCTTGGGTTCGATCCTCATGAGGCGCAGGAGTTTTCAAAATCTCCAACCCAAAGTTGAGAATGAATTTACCAAATGAAAGGTTTACCTCTCAGGTCGGATGGCTCAGAGGGATAGAAGACTGACTGTGAGACTGCAGGTTGTGGGTTGAAGGCTTATCAGGTGCAGTCATCTTTAAGGTCCAAAAAGCCAAATGAACAAGACATAAGCTCTATGAAACAATGATGTCTCAGGACTAGGGCTGCACGATTTTGGGAAAAAATCTAATTGCGATTTTTCTAAATATTATATATTAATATTGCGATTGCGATTCGAATTGCGATATTTGTTTTTAAGCGACCCAACGGAAGTTTATTGTAAAATGTGGCCATAACTCCGGCTTGGAAGGTCGTATCAACGTACTCCCGTCTCTAGCACCCCCTCAGCCCGAGCTACGAGTGAAAAAACTAAACTTACATGAAACTTCCGTTGGGTTGCTTTAAAGTCAAGCTTCAGTTTAAGATTCTCCCTGTAATAGAAACACGTGATGGAGCATTACTAACCTGACTCAGAAACCATCTAGGAAAGCTCCATTGGGAGCCATTTGGAAAGGGCAGGCACTTTCAAAAGCACTTGCAGATGATTGGATCAATCTGTCTATCACCTTCTATCATGGGCTACTTCTGATTGATTAACAATGGCTGGTACATGTGGAGCACAGCACTTCTGATTGGTGTGGATGACTGACACACAAGAATTTTATTTTATTTTTTTTAATTCCAAAAAAAAAAAATTGTTAAAAAAATCGCAGGCTTTGCGATTTGTTAATCGCATCATTTCAAATCGCGATTTCGATTTAAAATCGATTAATCGTTCAGCCCTACTCAGGACAGATGGCGCAGAGGGATATGTGACGGGTC